AAAGGTTCAAATGAATAATCTGAAGTTTCTACCTTAAGAAATGAGACAAATGGGGCTGGAGAATTGGCTCAGTGGTTAAGAGCATTGACTGCTCTTGCAGAGGACCCAGGTTTGATTCCCAGCACCCACATGGTGGTTAACAACCATCTGTAACTCCAGTTCCAGGGGATCTGACACTTTCTTCTGACCTCCATGGGCATTGCACAATACGGGTGCATTTACACACATGCAGGCAATACCCTCATACACATATAATAAAAACATAGAAAAAAGAGAAATGAGAAAAAGAAGAGTAAAACAGCCAGGCGTGGTGGTATATGCATGCCTTTAATATGCTTGGGTGGCAGAAACAGGCAGATCTCTGTGAGATCGAGGTCAGCCTGGTCTACATACTAAGTTCCAGGCCAGCTGGGGCTACAGGAAGACCCTATCTCAAAAAAGAAAAAAAAAAGAAGAGTAAAATAAACCCCCAAAACCCCCCAAAAAAGTATAAATAAGGAAATATTAAAGAGTAGAAGTTATATTGATTAAAATAGAAGAGGGACTAGAGAGATGGGTCAGTGGTTAAGAGCACTGGCTTTTCTTACAGAAAACCGGAGTTCAAATCCCAGCACCCACTTGGTGGCTAACAACCGTCCATAACTCCAGTTCCAGGGGATCCCAACACCATCTTCTGTCCTTTACGGGCAGTGCACAACATGAGTGCACTTAACACACATGCAGGCATAATACTCATGCACATAAAATAAAAAAATTTCAATATAGAAGAATCTAAAAACTGGTTCTTTGAAAAGAGAGAGATTCTGACTTAATAATGGGTACTCTTTGGGCTCTTGGGATTTTTATAAGCTCCCCAGATTTTCATGTGTAGTGGGAGCTAAAAACCTATGCTGTGAAGGCCAAATACGTTTTCTTAAGTTTTAAATTGGCATTATCAGGGTTCTGAGACCCTTTCATTTGTTGCCCTTTTAAAAACACTCCTTTGTGTGTGTGTGTGTGTGTGTGTGTGTGTGTGTGTGCGCGCGCGCGCGCGCTGTTCATAAAGTCAGCCCTGTCTTTTATGTTAATTTTTATGTCTGGTTGCCCCTTTGCCACAGGCATCATTCTGACTGGACATGAGCTTAAGAACAGCCCTCCTCACTTCACACCCACATCTGTCTTGATTGACTCTGAAACTCCACTCTCCTTGGTTAGTCACACATCACTTATTACCAGTTTTTAGGCTGTTTTTAGGTGATCACCCAAGTCATAGTAACAATGTGTCTGGTATACCTGGTCTTGTGATTCTGGCTCTCAGGCTCTTTTAGATGATTTTTTTTTCTTTTTAACATCATAATAAATTTTATAAGAAGTCATGGGTATGATTTTCAAGTTTTTGGAGTAAATTTCAGAAAAAAAAGACAAACATACAAATATTGAAATTGTCCACTGAACAATTATGTAGAAGTAACTTCTGAAGTATTTCATTACACCCCTTCTGAAATCACAGCTCATTTCTAAAATGTCTGCCAAATGTTTAACTAACCCCCTCAAGTTTTTCCTAAGTTTCATGCACTTCATCTTATAAAAATAATACAAACCATGGCTCTGTGGTTAAGAGCACTAAGTGCCCTTGTGGAGGACCAGGATTTAATTCCCAGCATCCACATGGAGACTAACAACTCCATGTGGGCATTGATGACCCTGAGGGCATTGCACAATTAGGTGTACTTACATACATGTAGACGGTACACTCATACACATACAATAATAATAAATAAAATATTTTTAAAATAATATTACAAACCATTTAAAATCAAAAATAGAGGATTAGAAGGAGGTCAC